AGGAAGCACTGACCCTACCCCCCCTTTAAGGAACGGCTCCTGACATCCCAACATAGGGGCTGGGAGGGTGGGAAAAACAGGTCCCACTGATGGAGAGGCTGCTGCAGGGAACGTTAAGCCGTGGTCAGGCTGCAGAGCGCTCAACTGTGCCTTCACTCTCTCCCATTCTCGCTGCGTGGCACCAAAATCTGCCAGGAGAGCCTCCCAGTACGCTGGGTCTAGTCTTGGTTGGATCATTCTGTCACGTGGGGGCAATGACATGGCAGGAAGCAGGCAGGACCCAAATGCAGTACTGGAGAGACTCTTTCTGGTGCAAGTAGTTTCATTAACATAGTCCAAATTAACGAAACACGAAGAACAACCAGGCATGGAATTCTCTTTGTAACACGGAATACGAGGAAACACAGAACAGGAAACTCACGAACTGCTACAGAACACGACAGCCTGACAGAACGAACTGAACATTGATCCAAACCAACAATGAACAAACAATGATCCAAACACAATGATCCAACTAGGACAGAGTGAGGGAGAGGGGTATATATACACAGGAAACACCAGGTGACACAAGTGAAGCTAATTACCAACAGGTGAGTGTGAACCCACAGATTACCCCACCAAGCAGACAACAGGAAAAGGAAACAGACAGACATGACAAAGGGAGCCTTTAGCTTTTCTCTTCTGTCCTGCAGTAAGAGCATAGAGCGGCTTGGCAATGACAGAACAATCAGGAATGAAGTGCTGGTAACCTATTGTATTCGTACAGGCCCAAAGGTGTTGTAAAGGCTGTGTATTTTCTGTCTGGCTCATGGAGGGGAATGTTGTAAAACCCTGATGTAAGATCCATGGTGCTGAAAAAGGTATTTCCTGGTGGGGCAGTGGATGAGCATCCTTGACAGTCTTGGCATTAAGCCAACGGAAGTCAGTGCAGATCCTCAGATCTGAAGACTTCTTCCAGACCAGGACCAGTGGTGAGGCATATTCACTAACAGACTTACTGATGGTGCCTTTCAATTCCGTCTCCGACTGCACCTCTCTCAATTTGTGATAGTGGGCTGGAGGGACACGGCGATAGGGTAGCCTAAAAGGGCGATCATCAGTAAGGTGAATGCAATGCACAAAGTCCTGTGCTTCTCCACAATCCACCTTGTCATTAGAGAAAACATCCTGGTAAGTAAGTACGAGGTCAGTAAGCCTCTCTTTCCATGACACATGACAGATCACAGCCCTCAAGGTCAATGTCAGCTGTAAGCCACAGGCCTCAAGTCGCTGTGAAGGTGCAAAGTGATGTAGGCCAGACTGAGGCCTGTTCACACCCTCGGAGATAGGAAGATCCTCCACTGCAACACATGGAAAAACATCTGCCACCTTTGCATTCCTACGCAGTGTGACAGGGCTCATTGTCGGGTTAAGAATTTTCATTGGCACCCATCTGTCGACCCACATAGGTGCTACAACCCGACCCACAATGATGTCCTTGGGGGCAGAGCGGGAATACGTGGGCTCCACAATGACAGCGCTTCTAGGTGAAACCAGAGCATTACCAGGTAACATCCCCCACACTAAGTACTCCTGCTGGGGAGCAAGAGTGACAGCCTGACGCAGCTTGACAGTACCAACTTTCTCAGGCTGTTCAGAACCTGACCAACGTGTAACACAGCTGAGCAACTGAAGGAACTGGGGTCGGAAGTATTTGAGCAAATGAGCTCCCAGTATTTCTCATTCGATCTCAGACCCTGTATCAATGGCCCGATGACGTTAGTCCCAATTATGAGCTCATCTTAGAGGTTCCAGTGTGCTGATAACTGCAAGAATGGTTGAGCTCTCTCTGAGAAGGTTGACAGCCAACAGGCTAAAGGCTATCTGATTGGTTGCAAGTGAAGTATTACAAAGAGAGAAAACTTTGTTAAACATGGCCACAACCCGCTGAACAACCTGTCTTACTTCCGTTAGCATATTCGATGTGTTCCCAGTGACGTGCTGCACCTCTGCGACTGTCTGGTCCACTCGCGTGCCATTATCGTTAAGGTTGCACCGGCGGCCCTTTCATCTCCACATCATGCTCCACAATCTCACCCACACGCTCCATTAGTTTTTTTTCTTCGCCTGTTTTTCTTCTTCTTCTTCTGTAGGCTAATGACGGTTGCTGAGAGCGTTTAGGCTAATTACTGCAACGGGGATTGAAGTGAGGACTTGACTTTTTTTTTTAATATGCTATTCACTCAGACATATTCGCCATGTGACCACGTGCACTGAACCGTGATGCCCGTAGTATGACACTGCGGGACGTATACATACACCGTAACACCCCTAATATATATACATATATTTAATTTAATAGTGGCACTTTGGCCCAGAGGCAATGTCTCTGTCATTGGTGTGGAACCCCAGGGTTCACCTCCTGGGCAAATTTAAATCCCGGTTAGGGTGGTTGGTACCTTCCAGTGGACTCACCACCCACAGGAAGGTTCAGGGGGGTTGGTACGGTACAATGTGATTTGGGTGAAGACTGCTGCCCCCGCGACCCGGTAACGGATAAGCAGATGAAAATGGATGGATGGATGGATTTAATTTCATTTATTTATTATTAATGGATTAACTCCAACTCTGTACAAATTGTCATTTGTCAAAAAATATACAAAAAAAGCACAATGTGAGCAGAAATCAATGTAAAATAGACCACTACAAGAAGGAACAGAAAATCTAAAAACGTAAATCCCTATATGCTGCTGATACATGTGAATTTCCCCTTTGTGGTTAGAAGCGTCTCATTTCCTGTCATCTTATCTCATCTGGCCTCATCTTACCAAAATGTGTCCAAAAATAACCCCAGAAGTCCACTCTGTGCCCTTTTGGTAGAAAAGCATGTTTCAATCATACCGTGTAGTAGAACATACTCTGACACTTTGATAACCTTTTTTTTAAAAAAAAAAGTAATCTAATATGTATATGGATATGTAGTACTGGAGACAAACATTTGTGACAAACAGGGTGTCTTTTTAATAGCTTGAGGCTGCAGTTCAACCAGTAATTGAGACATGGTGTAGCTTAGCTTACCATAACCTTCAAATATAACGGGGGTGGTAGTAAATATTAATTGCATGTGAGGTCTGTGTGTTCCTGCTGTCTGCTGTGTGGGGTAATCTGTTATCACACTCACCTGTGTCTCTGCAATTAGCCTCACTTGTGTCACCTGGTGCTCCTTGCATATATACCTCTCTCCCTCACTCTGGCCTTATGGGATCATTAAGTCTGTGTCTGTGTCTGTGTCTGTGTCTGTGTCTGTGTCTGTGTCTGTGTCTGTGTCTGTGTCTGTGTCTGTGTCTGTGTCTGTGTCTGTGTCTGTGTCTGTGTCTGTGTCTGTGTCTGTGTCTGTGTCTGTGTCTGTGTCTGTGTCTGTGTCTGTGTCTGTGTCTGTGTCTGTGTCTGTGTCTGTGTCTGTGTCTGTGTCTGTGTCTGTGTCTGTGTCTGTGAGCACTGTATCGTTCGTGCCAGCGTTGTGTCGAGCTTTTTGTTGTAGCTGTTCTTAGTCGGTTCCTGAGCAAGTCTGTTGCTGTGCTCAACTCTGTTTGTGTTCTCAGCTCTGCTCGACTTTGCGTATGCTTCTGTCCTGGTTTTTGGAATTTTGAAATAATTTTAGAATCTTGAAATAAACTACCTGAACCAGTCCTGCATTTGGGTCCTGCCTGCTTCCTGCCATGTCGATGCCCACACGTGACATTGCAAGTACATAGGAAAAGTAAAGTTGTGTTTTTCTAAAAATAATAAGACTACAGTTATTAATACAACCCTTTGATTGGTTTGTTTGTGCGTATGAATTTGTTTTTATTTATGTCTAATATCCATCAGTACTGGTACTGAAACCAGCCACTAGGGTACACAAACCAGGGTTCTATAGTGCCAGTCCCCACAGATAAATGGTCAGGGGTGTGTCAGGAAGGGCATCTGGTGTAGAACCTTAACCAAATCAAAGAATGCAAATTAAAATGTTTTCTATCTGGCCCACAGTGTAATTATATGTGGCCCACGAGTTCATATCAAAAGTGTACTACAGTTGGCCCGCCACTATATAGCCCCTATATGCTGGCAGGATTTGTAGTATCAGCAGTGTATGATCTATGTTATAGCACATACTTTTAGTTTTTTTGTTGTTGTTGGCCTGTGAAAAAAAGATTTACACTAAAATGGAACTGGAATTACCAAAGATAAAGAGACAACAAATACCACTGATGTGTCTTAGTTTACATTTAAATTCTCACGTGTTTATAATATTAACCTTTGGTTGTTCCAGATTAAATGTTTACACAAAACTAAAGTTTGTTTCCATGTGAAAGAAAA